AAGTGCGCTGCTCCACGGTAAGGACAACAGCGCGTGTTCGTTCCCCACCGCATACACCTGCGGTCCGGAGTTTTGCAAATATCTCAGCATTACATACGACTTATATTTCGCAACATACCCTGCCATTAAAAAAGCAGTAAATAAAAGGGTTAGGATTATTTTGTTTTAATTTAGATTTGCCGACTAGGTGTTTTTTTATGCGGACGCAGAGCGGTCTACCAGTTTCACCAACATATTCGTGCCCGCACGCTTTACAAGAGATCAGATAGACTGTACCCGAACTCATGCAGTCACCGTCTCTACCATTTGGGCAAATTATGCAGTTTTTTGTTGTACATAGACGGTCGTATAGGCGGTTGCGAACTAGGTGTCGTCTTAGAGTGTCCGGTGGTATTTCTATCACACTTACGGAATTCTCTAGACCGGCCCTTATTAAGCAGCGTTTTATAGCTGCACTTATTTCGTTTGAAATAAAGGGCAACAAGAACGGAGCCTTGTTTTTGCTAGAATTATTTTTTTAGAACTCCTCGCGGTTCATTTTTGAATTTTTTGAATTGATCCAAAGCGCTTCAAGAGTTTTACGCGCTGATGTTTTCGATTCGTGCGTGAGAACAGTGACTCCTACTTCAAAATCTTCTCCGTTGTGTTCCTGCATCCTATGCGCGCCTAGCGGAGTGTGTGGTTTTAATTTACATTTACCGACTAGGTGTTCTTTTATACGGACGCAGAGCGGTCTGCGCGTTTCGCCAACGTATCCGTCCCCACACGCTTTACAAGAGATTAGTTACGCCGTGCCCAACCCATGCAATCACTGTCTCTACCGTTAGGGCAAATTATGCAGTTTTTCGTTATATATAGACGGTCATATAGGCGGTGGCGAACTAGCTGGCGTCTTAGAGTGTCCGATGGTATTTCTATCACTCTTACGGAATTCGGAAGTCATCACGCGTGACCTGGCGCCATACCTCAGACTAATCCAATGACCTGACACAGACACAGTCATTGTCCATGTATTACTCTGTGCGGCGGCTATCCATCAACTAACTTAAATGCTTACAACAAATAAACGGTAGATGTTTAAATGAAGCTGTTTCTTATGCGAATACAAATTTATTTGCTAAGTTTTATCTGCTGGGGTTATGAAAGTGCTTGGCTGAGTAGATCGCATTTCAATTTGACCTTTCCAGGCTCTGAAGAAGGCGAAACTGCTGAAATGTTAGCTATTGCATCCTGATAAATTCTATAACAACAACCTTGAGCCTGCTTATTGAAGAAAAGCATGGAATTAAACCGTTTGTCAGTGATCTTATGCGAAATTAGCTGGATTCAAAAAAGCGAGAACAGTTACCTCATAGGTGACGCCGTTTAAAACTTTAACACTAGGTCTTGTTGGATAGTGAAAATGAATATTAGTGAATGTGAGTCGCCCTTCGATTTCATTCGGTGTGAAGCCATCCACTGCCGTACAGTCAATATCTGGTACCTTCAAATCACTTTTACTTACTGCCTATTCTTTTTTCATAGCAGAATGTTATGTGAAACACAACTACAAGAATGCCGAGATATGAGCAAAACTCCGCACCTCAGTTGGGCTTCGAACTTGTGATTATCCCTTTCGGAGGTTTACTTGCTATCTGCTACACTGACTATGGAGAACATTCTTCACGAATGTTGGAATGTTCTCTATATAAAACAATTCAAACCTCTTTATACATTTCAAATGCTTCTCCTATGACCTTCTCTCTATGACGATCTGATAACCTTTACAAACATTTCAAATGCTTCTCCCATGACCTTCTCTCCATGACGATCTGATAACCGTATGTCTAACATTTCGCTGGCGCCTATCTCGTAAAATATCTGCACTTACGGTCTTAGGCTTTGAATATCGCCCTATCAGATTGCAATGCTCGAGAAACGTTTCCAGCACCCATCTTTCTGTCTACTGTAGCTGAACTCCGCCTACTGTAGTCCGACTCCGCCCAGCGCAAAAGGTATATAAATGGCCCCACGGTTAGCTGGCTCATGTCACAGCAATGCTGCCCAAGTCACCGTATTCGTGCATCACATCCATCTTATGTAGTAAAAGTCATATGCCATTCTCTTCACTCACAAGCAACCTGAACACCAGTGATCAGGTTACGCCTATTCATTACCCGTATGACTGGTGCATTAATTGTACAGTTGTATTGTTATGATTGTTGTATAATTATGATGAACGGTTTAGTTACCCAAGTTTGAGGTTTCCTGCATTGTGACTGCTACTTACAAGAAGTCCCGCGTGGCGCACACAAAGGCGAGCGGCTAATTCTGACCGAATCGTCTTAACTACTTGGTATTCCCATATCAACGAGCCGTCCCAACACCAACCAATGCCCTCACTTTGCTTTCTCACAGCTAATTGACGGGTGGTTGATGATACTACTCTTAGAATAAAAAACTGGCTGAGAGGAAGATAAGGCAGAAGCCATGGTTGGTATTGTGGACAGCACGTAATCCAGAAGGAAAGGGAATCCCGGGTTCGAAGCCCAATTAAGGTTCCGAGTATCTCAACATCTTTTACAGCGTTTTCAGTGATCAATTAGTGTAGGTAAGTGAAGTTGGCATCCACTTACTACGGATTAACGGAGAAGCCAGAAGATTTTCAAAACCTCAGTGAGTTTTTCATTGGGTTCACGTAGCTTTTCAGTGGATAGATTCACTCACTCTGTTAATAATGGCAAATATATCAGCAATAGCGATTTTGGCGCTGAGGATGGCTCCAAGTTGTGGAAAGGCGTCACCAAGCCGACGCGTTCCGATCAGAACCGCCCAGAAGACGGCGAAGATCGTTCCAGGGCTGACAGCGTCGTTCAGCACCAATGTAGTACCGTACCTGAAATGAGAGGGTCTTTTGGAATTGAATAAGAACTTCAAATGAAAAAAGAAAAAGTCACCAGAAAGAGATCGCCATCGCGGCAAACATTAGAAACAAAGGTAAGGCTGAGAACAACGCCAGAACGAAAGCCTTCCTTATACCGAGTTTTCTAGCAGTTTTCAGCTCTTTTTCGTACCTAAAAGTTTACTATAATAGCGCTGTTTCATTGATATTGCAAAACGAACTACTAGTAAGGTAAAGATGGTTTTAGCGTCGGATCGCACAGTGGTAGCTGCCGCGCATCGCGAGCATGAGGGTGGTTCGACCTGCTACCGGGCCCCTGAAGGCAATCAATTCAATAGGATCGGGATGTCGTTGCCAGACTTGTCGAGGAAAAGCGCACTCCCCGAAATCCAACAGAGAACGCCCTAGCACCGGTATCATAGGACGCCAAGAAGAACCGACTCGACCAGCATCCAATGACATTCATAAATCCTCGAAAATCGAGCCCACGACGAATCGACGAAAATCCTCAAGCAGCAGCGCAACTGTACTGGAAAAGTTCGAAGATCCTCGCAAATGATGGGCGCGAGGAAACGAATCGAATGCGAGATGAGTTAGGTTCTATGATGTGGATGGTAAGACGGGATGTGTAAAATGAAATAAAGAAAGAAAGATGATTTTCTCAACGAGCCATGCATTTGCTGTGTGGGATGCATACCACTTTCAGACCAATTCATTTAGAGAAGAAAAGAACGTTACTATCAGGTTGCTCTTAAATCAATAAGATTTGTAATTTCCTTTTCACTGATTATATTTTAGCTACATTTTTTCGATTGTAGCACTAATATCAATGAAAAGCTCACTTCATGTGCTTTCGCTACTTATAATTAAATTATAGAACAGATTTTGTTAACCTTTTCATCTTCTGTCTACTATACTTTTTCATTGATTATTACAGCAATACTTCAAAAATTAATTAAGATCAGAAATTCTCAGGAATTTCGTAATTTCACTGCCGTATCACCCACAAGTGTAAATAAAGGAAATAGTTCCCAGGATATAAGAGACAACAGGCGAAACACAGTGAACGCATTAGTCCCAGAACGGGTAATAGAGCTCTCGTTCCCCCCTCACTTCATGGACATCTGCGGTCCGAAGTTTTGCAAACATCTCAGCACCATTATGGTTGCATCCCAATAATACCCTACCGTGACAAATTGTGATAGGCAGCAAATAAAAAGTTGACATTGTGATTTTGACTACAGCATCAGCGTTCAATGCCGATTCGTGCTCCATAGATCAATCCCGCTGACGAGGGATTGTTGATGGTAGCGTTAGGTAGAAAACTAGTTGAGAGAAACGCACAAAAAGCGCCTCCGTGACGCAGTGTGTAATGCGCAACCCCTTGAAACGAAAATAATGGTTCGATCTGACCCAGAGCTGAGTTTTGCGAATAGCTCAGCATCGTTGTGGTTGTAATTCACAAATCTTACTGCTGACAAATTTTAAAGGTTAGAATTTCAGTATTAAAACAAAAAATGCCAAAAAATATAGTTCTACGACTTAAAACTCGGACATAGTTCCGAGCAAACGGGTCGAAACATAACTGATGAATGGATCAAGGACGTCTTAACGAAAGCACTGCGTGGTTTGGAAGATTTCATCGTAGCGAATTTGAAGTTGAAGATGAGGACTTTCGTGAGCATCCTTCTGTTATTCATGACGACGAAATGGCTTTGTTTAAAGCTAACACATGCACGACTGTTTGATTACTTGCAGAAGAAATCTGTCCAAGGATCTCAACTGTTTCTGGCCATCTACGGAAAATTTGAGAGAAGAAACTCGACGAATGGATGCTTATAAAATTGGTCGTCATATCCTACAATTAGGAGCGGCCACACGTTGCATTACGAACGCTACGGAAGTGGAACGAGCTGGTTTAGGAAACGTTGCCCATGAACCGTACTCTCCAGATCTCTCGTCTACCGACTACCACTCCTTCAATCATCTCGATAATTTCCTGCATGAGAGATGTCTTATAAACCATTTTAAGGCCGAAGCTGTTTGTTACTGGAACAAATCAACTTGTTTCTCGTTGGAAAAATGCTTGCATTCTATTGTTTATCACTTTTTTTTATTATTAAGTTTATTTTGAACTATGATATGCCTCTTTAAGAGTACGGATTCAAGTCCTTCATTCGTTTTCGAACAATCTAATATGATAGAATAATCCTACTGCGACCATAAGTCAGAATTCAACCATGGCACGAGTTTTCAACTTCTCATCAACCCATTGCTTCATTTCCAAAGTGATTCTTAGTATTTTAAGTGGCAAGCATGTATACTAGACTTCTTGAATGCTTTTGTATTTTTCTTATTCACAAAACGTGCAACATTAGACCGACTATACCAGACTGAATATAGACGAACTGATGGGCAACGCCAAAATAACCTTCTTCCACCATGCTTTTACATTCGTTGCAGGCATCCCTTCATCAACGATTTTGGCGATGTATGGATAGTCACGACTAATCTTTTTTACTAACCGTTGAATTTCAAATGGCTGAGCGTTGAAGGCGATAACAGTGCGAATGCCGCCGATCACCTCGTTCGCTAACGAGGCAGCTGTGGAATAGGCGTAGTTTTCCAACTTTGAAGCCCGAGAGAGAAGCTGAAAATAGCTGCTGCAACACCAAATACGGTTGTATTTTTCGGTTGTTATGCTAAACATGGTAGCGATCGAGTGGACCTTTTTCAAGACTTTTTTTTTACAGTTTCTTGTTACTCTCACGTTAACTCCCTTATGTTGGTTGACTGATTACCTATTAAAAGGTAAAGGATAAAGCTCTCGGTGTTGATTAATCCTTGAGAGATGAGCCATGCATTCGACTCCATTAAGCATCACTGAAGGTGATCGAATGCAGATCTGGCCTTTACAATAACTCGCGGTGGCCTACCGATGGATCGACCCAGTGCTGCTATTCTCTCGAAGTAGTCTGGTAGCAATTTGCCGATCTTGGAGTGATGGAAGGTTTGGTGAGCTAGGGGCGCGAAGATCGATCCGGTGTGTACTGCGGGACACCTTCGACCGGTGCGCTACACGCGCCTCGACTTTTTACTACATATACATATATGTACATATTATATCATATATCACATTATTTCGCCACCTGTATCACCTATCTTCCCGTTGTTCGTCGAGTGACTAAAACAGGCGCGAGTAAACTCTCCCATTTTTCCCTATCGCGAGCAAATAACCCGTTGGGTTCTGCTAGCTCCAAAGACCCTTTGAGCATCGTATCAGCCTTCTAGGGCTTCCATGAAGAGCCCCTGAGCAATAACTCGGTGGTATTTCTTCTGTGAGTTTCACATATCGAGAAACCTAGTAGCTTACGCTTCTTGTTCATCGGTTACCGTTCAGATGCATGACGTGCTCAGCCCGCATTTTAGTGTGCACAGAGATGTTTCTTGTCTTTGCTGGTTGGCATAGGGCGAAACTTCGCATTCACTCTTTCATTTGCATGAAGCGAGGCGCTCCCAGCATGATACTCTTGATTACGCGTTTACACTACATTGTTGATGCGCTTAAACCTTACCAAGCCTCTTCGTTCTCCTTCTTAACTCAAGCCATGCCTACTGTTGTATAAACGATATCATCAGCAAAGCGGTGGTGTATCATATCATATCATTTTGTGCTATACAGTATACTAAATATAAAGCATCCATGGAAAAAGTAACCGTAATTGCATCCATGGAAAAAAGTAACCGTAATTGCATCCATGGAAAAAAGTAACCGTAATTGCATCCATGGAAAAAGTAACCGTAATTGATACGTGTATTGAAATGTTATGGAGGTTGTAAAGTAAAAGAAAACCTTTCCAGAGACAAACAGCGCTGCCAGAAGCATTGGCACCGTAATCAGCATCACTAACGTCATTTGCCAGCTGGAAATATGAAATGTTGTCCAGTTCCTTGTTAAGAAAACGTCAGTTTGTTTTTGAAAAGGCACTAGTTGGTGTTTAAAGTCACAGAACCCACTTTTGCTACATATTTTTATTCCCATGATGCTAAAATTAAATGTTAAAGCAACAGCAAGAGACCAGCACGATATCCCAGACGCTATAATGAGAAACAACGAAATAGAAAGCAAAAGCACGCTTATATTGAGTCGGAATCCTTGATATTAATTACCAACATGGAGTACATCCTATATAAACTTTTGTTCCTCAGTGTTGATGGAACATAACAAATTTGAAAAGGAAAAACGGAAGTGAAAAAACTTCAGAAAAAATGAGTACCTCATATGAAAACCGAGAGCAATTCCACCAAAGAACGACCCCAACGCTGACAAAATCAGTCCCATTTTATCGCCTATTCCATCTTTAATACGCTCAACACCACTTGAAAAGTGCATTTTTGGAAGAAATGAAAACTTGGGAAAAGAAACGACGCAGACGAAAAGAAGGCTGCAAGAACTCCTAAAGGAACAACACATTTGCCCACCTGCTCATCTTCATCGTGAGTGCTCCGACCTGCTGATTGTCCAGCCATGTCATGTCCTGACGCAGAACAGCTCGGAGATACTTCGCTCTGACGCTGTGAACCCGTCGCTCGCAAAACGTGAACAGACTCGCATTCTCAAAATCGAGAACATCCTCACATCTTCGTTCTTTCATTTATTTCTCTCCATTAATTTACGTCAATTTATTTTTGATTTCATGGATTTTTTTCTTTCTTTCTGTTCCTAATTTTTGGTTATGCATAGGACGCCATGGGTTCGGAAGAAAATCGCAGTTAATACGACTTCAACAGTTATTAACAGACTAAGCATCTAAAGAAAAAGAAATTTCCCGATCACATTCCAAATGTTGGCATAGTTTTGTGGAATAGTTCGTTTCTATGAAACAATATGATAAAACAATGTATTTCTGTGAAATAATGTGATGTAAAACTGACTGAGAGAATGGCAGAACGAGAACCTCCGGAAAGGATAATCTGCGGGTTCGAATCTGACCCAAGTTTTGCAAAATAGCTCAGCATCGCTGCAGTTATATTTCACTTAGTACCCTGCCATAAAAAAATGGTAGGCAGTGGGTAAAAAGTTATACAGTGTAATTCGTTCCTATTCCAATCAATTGATTTCCCTGATTTTTGTATCACATGATATTTGAGTCGCACAAAATTTTGACATGTCTCGATTTTCCTCGTCCTTAGAATTTCATGAACCGAAGTGTTCTAGTACATTATCTTCTAAATATCTTAAGGTGGCCTACCATCGCAATTTCTTCAGCCATTTGTTAATTGCAAAATGTTAAAAGACTGTGTTATATGAGAGGACCACGCACTTAGATCGTCTTAGAGGCTCTATTTTAATGCTGAGTGTATTGATTAGCTGGGAATAGAAACCGTCCAACTTTTGCATTACGCTGGATAGAAGTATAAGTATACTGTGATTATATTCTCTTCATAACTCTTTAAAACTACCGCCAGGTATCCGAAAACAAGCAGCACTCCACCAAGAATGAGATAAAGGCTGCAGTAATAGAGGACGTTCGAGCTGAACATCTCGATGTCGAGCTCACCCGAAGAGTAGTTGCGCTCGCCGATGATCAGCGTGTCCGATATTCCTGTAAGAGGTGGCATTGCTCAACGGCACTATTGAAAGTAAAAATATAGGGAATATACACTCCTACTTAGTTTAAATTCACTGTGCTTCACGTCATGTGCAAGATTTTGCTTGCTATTTACTTTGTTCTCAGGTAGCGTTATTTGTTTCGCTGTAGTTTTTATGTTCAAATACAAACGATGGAAATCTTCGATGTGTAAATAACGAGGTGATTTTTGATAAGTCTAAAAATCTTTAGCAGTACGTTTTCAAGTAGCAATAACTATCTGTGTTTCTCAAGACTCTGCTTTGTTTCTTCCCAATTTGGCTGGGTGCAAACGCAATAACGATCGCTCCTTCGTTTGATTCCGCCCAACGCTCACCAAGTCCTCTATCCCTCTGTAGTCGGCATATTCCTATCTGACGACTTGTTTGGGGGACAGAAATACTGACTACGGTTGGTAGGTTTTTGTATTAACCATATATGCATTCTTAAATGTTCTTCTGCAGGATTCGGTTTATATTATCTTCCTCGTAGAGTTGACTTTGAAGGGACACAGTGTGATTTTGTCCAAGTATCACCTAATTCACGTCTGCAAAAGAAAACTTGACTGGCTCCTTATATATCAAAGCAAGCATTTCATTTAGCGTATGCAGGGCTTAGTCTGTTTTTCTGACAAAGTTCAATAGGTACATCAGTGAACGAATAAATTCTGAAAGCTCCTTTTGTTTCCGCACGCGGATTTTCCAACACCTGTGTCTGTGTCTGCTCATCGCCCTACTGTACTGGCTTAAAATTTCCTACTTATTTTTATTGCAAATTGGTTAATTTTAACTGAAATTAATTTAAGACTATTGTTTCTATGGTGCAGGTAGCGCAATGATAGTGATGTCGATCACCATGTACGGTGTTTATTCGAGCTCGCCTCTATCTCACTAGGCTTCTTATCCCTCCTGAATCGGGAAATTGGAATCACACTTGTCTGGGAAATGTTCGCTCTATGCAATCTAAGTGAGAGCGCCCTAACCGCCTATAATAGGAGCCCACTGGGAATCAACTCGATCAGGGTTCAACGATATTAATGGCGAAAGTGATATGCTCACGCTGCATGCGAACACACGCGCAAAAGTTAAAAAGCCCCGCTGGACGGTGGATACGAGGAAACCAGTAGAATGAAAGAAACGCTGTTATCGGCACAATAGGTGTGGAAAGGTGAGTCGTGTGAAACAAATGAATAAAAAAATTATTAACATTTACTTGTCATTATTATTATCGTTAATGAACTTGCACGAGGTTGGTATAATTATCAAATATGTAGGCTCAATCAAAAAGAGGGAAACTGATGACCTTTGAAAATAAATGAATTGAACGGTAGAAGAACTCCAGTGGCAATGCTGAGGAGAGCACCGATAAGGAATAGCGCGTAATCCTTCACGTCAGCATCGTGCATCTACAAAGAAGATAATCGCTTCTTGTCAGATGTCCGCAAGTCAGAAAAACAATCGGAACTATTTGTTAGCTCAACCATGTTTTCAAAACCATTTCTATAGAAAAATGTCGGATTTTTCAACTTAGTTACGTTGTTTATGTCAAGTGAAATAAACTATTCTATTCCCGCTTTGTGTTGAGTGCGTGTGGCGCAGCGGTCGGAGGTGCACTGCAATACACATGTGGAATCGATCCTTGCGCCCTTGGCCCACCAAGTCTTCCGTTCCTACAGAGTAGACAAATTGGCACCATACTTGTCTGGGAGGATAGCAGCACTGGATCGACATGTCGGTAGGCCACCGCGAGTCATTGTACAGGCTAGATATGCATTCAATCAACTCCAAACGATATTAATGAAGTCGAATGCATGGCGCATCCTTCAGGGAATGGTCAAAACCGAGAGCTTTATCCTTTATCCTTTATTCTCGCTTTGTTACGAATAAACTTCTATCAGTTGTTCGATTTTAGTTGTGAGTTATGAGAACCTCGACAAATCGTATAAAAAGTTTGATCATTGATGAAATCGATTTCATTTTTGAGGTATAACCCTAAGAGGCTCCTTTTCAACCACATTGGAAGAGCAGTGGTGCAAAACATGTTCGACAGAATACGATTCTTACCAAAATGATTTCATGTGAGGATAATACGAAAGGATTTCTAAGGAAGAATCCTATCATACTGTTTTTTTTAGAAAAAACTCAAATTCGGTTACGTGTTTTTCTTTGTCGAAGCACAAAACATCCTCCGTAGCCATTCGATGAAACTCAACAACTGTCTCTTGTCATGCCGAAATTATCCGTTCAGTACTGACCAACTCACAAGACTAAGCAGTCCAGACGATGAAATAGAGCGCCTTTTTTTCGAGAGCTGAGTTCGATTCGTTGGTCTTAGCTTCATGTCGTCGTTGAGTACCAGGTACGATTGATATAACGATCAGTAAATAGACGGCACTAAAATGTTTTCAGTCACGGCACAATTTTATAATCCTTACCCGACATGTTTCACTTTAATTTATTCACAGACGAGAGGTATAAGCCGCCCTCAACACAAAGCCCCTCAAAACACTGTTCAATACAACACCAATCAAGTAGTTAAAATACGATATGTAAAGTTGAAATTGTTTACGTCCTGAAATTTCTATGCGACTATATTTTGCCAATTACGGTCCTCCGTTGAACATGGTACCATAAACTATTATCCGCAGTTAATCCAGCCTAAATGGTAACGTCAGTGAAGTCCTAAAACTAAAATTCAACGGCTTGGATTATAGTTGTACCTTTACCATCACTGCAGTTGAAGAGTGTATTTACTTGGAGTGGAAGTCCTGCATTCACTTAGAATTATTCAGGTCCTGACTTCATTTCCATTTAACTATTGATAGCTTCCGACTTTTCTGAATCGAAAGAATGCCTGCTTTCTTGTACGTGCGTTATTTTCATGACAGTAATTTTTGCGATATTAGTACCGTAACATCGAATAAGACCTATTTAGGCTTCCAGAAGGCAGCGTCGAACTCTCCATTTAAGGCGGGCCTGCCAGCGAGATTAGCTCCGCGTTTCAATTCTCAGTAGCACGAGGTCTACCATAATGAACTACTACATCAGCCAGAAGTAAAGAAGAATGTGTTGTTGTCTTGTGAACACTGACAATGCGAATAGCATTTCGAATTTATATCAGATACCAAAAATTGTTGACGGAAAGCAAAAACCTTAACGAATGATACCCGCAAAACCGGATTGCTACACACATCATGAGGGGGTTGACGATGTCAGTGCGTCTTCAAAAAAAGTTAAATAAACGGCTGTCATAATTTAGTGCAGTGCTGAAAAGAAAAAGTGAACTTCTTTCGAAGGTTGATAATATATAGGGTTACTGTCGACTAACAAGACGGCGAAGTTCTGCAAGTTCTCAACACGCGCGACGACAAAGACTCTTTTCTAATAACCGCTTTTTCTCTGACATGGTGAAAATACTTCTGTATCACAGCATAAAAGCTAGAAAAGCTCTTGGCTCTCGGTGTTGATCAATCCCTGAGGGATGCGCCATATATTCGACTTCATTAAGTATTGTTGGAGGTGACTGAATACATATCTGGCCTTTACAATGACTCGCAGTGACCTATTGATGTATAGAGCCAGTGTTGCTATCCTTCCAGACACGTCTGGTAGCAGTCTGCCGACCCCGGAGGTATGGAAGGCTTGGTGGGCCATGGGTGAGGGGATTGATTCCACGTGTGTGTCGCAGTGGCATCCTACCACAGCGTAACCAACTGGAAATCCAACTACACTTGTTTGTTAACACAAAAAACCTCACTACAAAACTGAGCGAAATTTTTTCGCTTCAACCTAATAGTTGCCATTAGTTACCATTATCGGTGCATGTTCACTTTGTAGTATCTACACGGCATACATATTTCAAAATTTCACGATACAAAAGCTGTTGAAACCTCAACCAAGACGCGTTCTGTAGATAAAATGAAGGTGGAGTGGAGCTGACTTTTATTCTTTGTTGCTACACTTCAAATCTCTCCTTGCAACATAACTGAGCTGTTGAGTTCGCTCTATTCATATGGACCACCATTCAGTGATCGGTGTCATCCTGTGGCTAACGTTGTGATTCCATGAGGACTATCGTATTGTGATGCATGTCAAACATAATGTGGTCCTATCAAATTCGTATGTTATGTACTCACCGTTCTGCATCACCTATGTTTTAACGGAACCTTGTTCCTCTTATGCAGCCTTCCAACATTTACCGATCGATTTCTGTCTTAAACTAGTAGTTATAGAAGACTTCCAACCACTCAAGTTTCAGATCTGTATCTGTGGCAGCACTTCAAGTCTTGCTGAGAGAACGCGAAAGCTGAAGAGTATTCTCACTTCTCCGTAACTATGATAAAATACCTTAGCATGTTTTAACACACGGACGACTGCTGTTGATTTCGCGGAGGCCAGAATGAAACACGGAAAGTGCTAGTTTTCCTTTACAGTAAACTCTTCTCGAATGGTGACACCTGGCATTGAATCTGCATTTGACAAGCTATTGATGGAGTGCAATAATTGCAGTAAAAGAACTTCTGTAAACCACTGAACAGATGTGACCCATTTTTGGGTCATGTGGTCTTTAATGTGTTAATGTAATGCCACTGCCTGTAATTTTCCAGCATCAACTGAAGTAGTCACAGTGAGCACATTGGGGCAGATGTAGCACTGCTATTCGGTGTCGGTGAAAAGTGAAAATCACGCTCAATCAGCATTCAACAAGTCATGAAGAGACAACAGAGCCCCAAGTTGCGACTGAGTATGCGCACGAACTACTTTCAGGGGTGACAGGCAGATGACAACGAAACGAACTGAAGAAGTGCAAGAACCCGTGCATCTGAAGACTGGCCATCTAGATATCTAATTTCTCGAACACTAGGAGCAAGTGCGCTGACTGTTGCACCACTACTTGGAAAAATTGAGTTAGAATCGGGTTGAATCGCTGCATTTACTTCACAGGGTCTTAAAATATTTTCCGCTTATCATTATCCTTAAGGGTAAATTTCGCCGATTCCATTGATTTTGTGCTGGTAGAAAACAATATTTTTGTGTAGATTTCCAACAGTACGTTACTTGCGGAGTGACGGCTAGTGTTCAGCACTCAACTGTGTACTGCTCAAAAATGATATTCTACTAAAGTCAGATAGTAACAGGCTTGTTTGACCATCCAATAGGATCAACCATGCAAATGGGTTTGCGACATTGATACATTACCATTTGAATACAAGAAGAACCCATTTGCACGAATTGTTGCAGCAGAAGCACGGCTTTCTGTTCTATCATGAACATGACTGTCGTGCAGCCCCATTTCCATCGCGCACGGTGGCATATTCGCTCGCATCTATCTGTGGCTACAGTTCTGACTGACAAGGCTACAAACACTTATAATGTGGGTGATTTCCGTTGAGAACTTTACATTCTTTTAGGGTCCTTTCACCTTTCATTACTCCACGTAAAGTGATGCGAAGCACAACAAGGGTAGCAGAAAAGATTTCGAACTGACAGCCTAAATACTAATAGAGAAATCCAAGACATCAGCGTGCAAAATTCTTGAGGTAATTTAGGTCAGTTTTAGAAGTCCACGGATGAACGGCACCACGGGGTGTCTCGGTGTTACACACAACCAAGCCCATACCTCAGTTTTCTTTTGACCTCAGACAGAAACGTTCCGCGTCTATGTGAACCGTCTGTGAATCGCCTCCTTTACTAACCAAGTAGGCAACATGCAAAAAACTGCATGCTGTGTCGTTCTCTTTCTCAGCAATCGCGAGGTTGTTATTCAGCACACGGTTACTTCCATACACATGGAACACATACAACACAACGGTTGCTGACGTTTCGGCAGTATCGCCTTCTTCAGAGCCTGGAAGGGTACACTGATATGTAGTTTACTAGGTCAAATCCTTCAACAGCTCATACAAAAATACTCCAGAGTCTGAAGAAGGCGATACTGCCGAAACGTCGGATACTGTTGTATTGCATGTGTTCTATGTGTATAGAAGTAAAAGTGTGCTGAATAACAACCTCGCGATTGCTGATAAAGAGAATGACACATTTACAATCCAATGCCGAGGTTAATAGGAAGTCGATCTTGGAAATTGTATATTGTTTAACACTGAAATAGAGGTGTTGAGTTCGACATGAAAGCACTTAGTCAATTGGACTGTTATCATGACCCGTTCCAAATTCTAAAGAAAACGACATTTGACCAAACTTTAGTCATCGAGAAATGAGTTTTGTTAACAACCTCGTCCGGGTTCATCAAAACAGCATTTGTTAATAAAAAAAAGAGATTAATAGGTATTAATAAGTCATTATTCGAAACAGTCCAAGAATGATAAATAGTGGTTCTTAATAGGAGATTGCAAAGAATGGAAGTCGTGTTGCCTGATTCCTATACATCTTACGCACTCTTTAATGA